GGAGCCGCCTCCATACGTGCACATGGCAAGTGTTTTCAACCTTTTGGACGTTAAGCTTTGGGACGTATCAGGCGAGCGCCATATTTTGAAGAGCAGTCGCCCACCATCTCTGTGGCTATGTATTGCAATTTGTTTAGGCGAGTGTGCGCGATGCTCAGGCGAGAGCCCCATTTCGACGATGAGCCGCCCGCCATTCTTGTGAATGCTACAAGCTGGTAGGACGAGTGTGCGCGGCGCTTGGGCGCGAGTCCCGCTTTGAGAAGGCGCGCCTCCATCCGACTTATTGCTGTCAGCTTCTGAGCTGAGTCGGCGCGGCGCTACGGCGATAGCGCCATAGAGGTGCCCGAAGGCCAGATGGGGCCCTGTGGGGTTCGAAGTCTATGGCAGTTTTAATGAGGATCCGCATTGGTGTTGAGATCGCCTCTCTCCCCCTCTCCTCTCGCCTCGTTTTCCTCCTTGGCGTTCCCTCGTCGTCGTTGTCGTGTCAGGGCGCCGGGCGCCATTACGACAGGATTGCAGCTCTTGAGTGTGGATCTGACTTGTGGTACGTCATTCATCGGATGCTGTGCGCTTCTTTACAAAATTGACAGCCACCAATTTACATCATTGCATCGGCTGCTAGCGTTAAAGACGAATGTGCGCGGCGCCAGGGCTCGTTGAGGCTAGATCAGCAGACTGTTCGGGCGAATGTGCGCGGCGCTGACGCGGGAGCTCTGTTTTGAAAGCGGCCCCCCCACCCTTGAGGTTGTTGAGATTGTCAGGCTGCAGGATCAAGCATTGTGACGAAGTCTCGGTCGAAGCGCATGGCTTGCCCTACCGACACATCTTGGGGTGTGACAGGGAGGGGGTATTGAAAAATAACAAGGATGGACAAGGAGGACGAAATTGGTCCGCTCAGGACCCAGGCACGAGCAGTGGGAGGCGGAGGCGGAGGAGGAGGAGGAGGAGGACCAGTGTAAACACAAGAGTCATCAACGATGTTGGAATGAACCCTTCCTCCAAGCTCCCTCTTCATAGGCCCCTACAGCGGCTCATTACCATTGAGGGAGCTGCCTCGTTGGAAGACAAACGTTTGAAGGCCTCGAAGTATGCCGAAGCATTGTTCTCGGGATTTCAACGCCACGGATCAACCTGACTTTTGCGTTTTGACGATCCTGAGACGTGCCATTCGTGGGACTTCTTCAACAACGCGAACCAAGAGAATTGTAGCACCCGCAAGATCGGTAATCTTTCCCAATCGCGATTTCTGGTACTTCGACCATGGGAGTCCGTGAAACGCTTGCGAATGTTAAAAACACATGTGCGAGGCGCTCAGGCGAGAGCCACATGTTGACAAGGAGGCGCCGCCAGTACGTGAAGTTCTTGCACATGTTTAACCCGAATGTGCTCGGTGCGAAGGTTGGAGTCATGTTTTGAAGCGGAACCGCCCTCAATCTGTGAACCCCTTGCGAACTGTTTAAACCATGTGCGCGATGTTAAGGCGAAAGCCACATTTTGAAACCGGGTCGATTTTACTCCGTGAAGTTTTTGCACATGTTATGAACAATTATGCGCGGCGCCCATGCGAGAACCACATTATGGAGTCGGGTCGCCTCAATCCGTGTAACTCTTGCAACGTGTTAAGACGAATGTGCACGGCGCTAAAGCGAGAGCAACATGTTGACAACCACCCGCCCTCCATTTGTGGAGCGGGTATCAATGTTTAAGCCGCAGGGTCATAAATGGCGAGGAGGTCTCAGGCGAAACGCCCGCTGCCTCTTCATAGGTCCCTACAAGAACTGCCTCGTTGGAAGACAACTCCTTGAAGACCTTGAAGCATACCAAAACATTGTTCTCTGAATTTCCACGCCACGGATCGAGGTGAATGCTGCGTCCTGACGACCTGGAATCGTGCCAGGACGCCATTGCTGGCGCTTCAGCAGCGCAAATCAACACACTTGTTGCACCCGCGTAACCCTGAATTGTTTAATCATCGAAATTTTTGGTACGCTGATCACAGGAAGCCGTGACACTTTTGCAGGTGTTTCAAGCGAGTGTGCGCGGCGCTAAGGCGAGAGTCACATATTGAAAAGGAGCTGCTCTCAATCCGTGAAGCTCTTGCAAAAGTTCAAAACACATGTGCGCGGCGCTAAAGCGATAATCTCATTTTGAAGACGACCCGTCCTGAATCCGTGAAGTTGTTGCAGATATTTAAAACAACTGCGCTCGGCGCTACGGCGAATGAAGCGTTTGGAAAACCACCCGCCCTCCATCTGTGAAGCTGTTAAGCTGTTGCCATGTTTTAAGCTTCGGAGTCATACATGGTGAGGATCTCTCAGGCGAAACGCCCGGCCCGCCCTAAAACAATGCTTCGTGGTACGACAGGGAGAAGTTACTTATAAGGAGAAGGAACTGGAGGAGGAGGAGGAGGAGGAGGAGGAGGAGGAGGAGGAGAAGGAGGGACACCAAGTAAAACAAGGCATAGGGACCCCGAGCCAGGGGGGCCTGGCAACAGGAGGCATCCCGAGCCCGCCCCACCTATGACCCCCTCCCCCAAGGGAGGGACCCCCAGGGGGTCTCGGCGCCCAAGCCCCCCCGCCGCCCTCCGCCAGTCTTGCGGCTGGTGGCCGGCTTTATTTGTATCCCCCCTATACAGGCGGCACTGACCTCCCGCCTGGCGGGGGCTCCCCGGCTATCCCGATGCGCTCACCGGGCCCGCGGTTCGTGTGTGTGTGTGTGGGGGGGAGGGGGAGGGGGAGGAGGAGGAGGAGGAGGAGGAGGAGGAGGAGGAGGAGGAGGAGGAGGAGGAGGAGGAGGAGGAAGAGGAGGAGGAGACGAGGAGACGAGGAGACGAGGAGACGAGGAGGAGGAGGCGGAGGAGGAGGGGGAGGCGGAGGAGGCGGAGGAGGAGGAGGGGGAGAAGGGACAGCCGCCCAGGTGTACGCTCACACGCCCCAGCGTGCATCGCCGCGGATTTGTTGATGGGGCGCGGCGGGAAGAAGGGCAAGACGAAGGGCAAGGGCAAGGGCAAAAGCAAGGGCAAGGGCAAGGGCTACGCCGAAGACGATGGCCCGGGACAGGAGGAGGCGGAGGAGGACGAGGCGGAGGAGCCCAGCGGGCAAGGGGAGGCAGAGGAGGTCGAGGAGGTTGAGCAGATGAGGCGACGGCGGGAGGTGGAGGTGGAGGAGGAGGCGGACGAGAAGGAGGAGGACAAGGAATGGGAAAGGGAACTAGGCATGGACACGCCCAAGACTCGAAAAACGCCACTCCGCGCGCCACCCTACGCGCGTGGAAGAGGTCGAACTTCTGGTTCCCGGCGAAGGGTGTGGGTGGGATCGAATTGGGCGATGCGTCCGCACCAGAGCGCTCCTCTTGATCATCATCGTCCCTCTTCTCCCCCTCCACCCTTCCCCCCCCCTGCTCGTCATCCTCCTCTTCCTCCTCCCCCTCCTTCTCCTCCGTCTGCTCCTTCTCCTCCTCCTCCTCCTCCTCTTCCTCAGCCTCCTCCATCTCCTTCTCCTCCTGACTTCTTCTCCTCCACGTCCTCCTCCATGAAACCGCACCCTCGCGCGCGCGGAATGCGAGATTGCCGCGCACACAGTCTAGCAGGCACTGCTACGTGCAGAAGACTGACTGACCGCAGCCCCCGGCACGACCGCAACGATGCTACAGAAGAGCGCCTGCCTGGAATAAAGCGCCCTCCGCCGTCAAACTGGCACCACTGACGCACGGTACCGCAAGGACCACGCATGGTAAAAAAACAGTTGTGACCCATGTTGGAAACACGCAGCATAACACGAGGATGGATATTGCAAACACCAGGGATGCCATACAGCGATGCAGCCCGCAACCACAACTCCCACGATTAGCAAACTGCATGAGACACGAACCTCGATTGTAGAGCAGATGCGCCCCCCCAGATACGTAAACAACTGGAAGATGTGATGTACAGCACAAGCGAAGCACGTCCCAGACTATAGTACCACCACTAGAACATGGATGACAATTTTGACGCAGCGCAGCACCTGGAATGACTACAGACAATCGGTAAAGTCGAATCGGCTAAATTTGAAATGCGCCCAAGTCGCAGGGTTGGGTCTGATGAGCCCAAAGGCATCCCGGCGCTCACTACCCAACCTGCGCCTGGAATGGATCTTGAACAAAAGGTTCTCACCAACAACGTCTCATCATGGAAACATTGCGCAATGTTGCAAAACGCAGTAATGATGACTCCCAACTTGTCTGGCCTCTGTCAACGGCCAATCGAAGTCTTCACGCTCTGCGTATCCACACCAGCTCGTTCAGAAATGTTGCCCATGAGAGCTGACGCGTAAAGGTACGAAGAGACATATGTAGTGAACGAAAGCGGGCAACCAGGATCAACACAGAATTCTCTGGGAGCAATGGGATGGCCTTGGAGCGCCTCTTTGCGCCGTGCCTGGGGCCAGCGGGGGGGCGAGGGGAGAAGGAGAAGAAGAAGGAGGAGGAGGGGGATGAGAAGGAGGAGGAGGAGGAGACAACCCGCATCTTGGGGCCCTCGTGGGATGCTCTAGGGGCCTTCTTGGGGCCGTCTTGGGGCCCTTTTGCAACTCTCTTGGGGCCCTCTTGGGGGCCCTGTAAGGCTTCTTGGGGGCGGAGGGGCAGGAGCATGAGCCGGAGCAGGAGGAGGAGGAGGAGGAGGAGGAGGAGGACGAGGAGGAGGAGGAGGAGGAGGGAGGAGGAGGAGGAGGAGGCGCCGCCGTCGTCGCCCGTCGCTCGCCCAGAAGGCGAACCGAAGACCACCATCATGCTCCGCGGACTGCCCCCCAGCATCACCGGGGAGTTCTTGCTGGAGCGCCTGGACGCGGCGGGCTACAGGCGCGCTCGGCGGCCCCTCGGCGGGCCTTTCTCCTCCTCCTCCTCCTCTTCCTCCTCCTCCTCCTCCTCCTCTCCTCTTCCTCCTGCTCGTCCTGCTCGTCCTCCTCCTCCTCCTCCTCTCGTCGTCCTCCTCCTCCTCCTCCTCCTCCCGCCTCCTCCTCCTCCTCCTCCTCCTCCCTGCAGCCCCTCGGCGGCCCTCCGAGACCCACGGGGCCCTTGGAGGCTCTCGGTGGCCCCTCGCCGGCCCCTCGGCGCCACCTCGGCGGGCCCCGCGGAGGCCCTCGGCGGCCGCCGCCGCCGCCGCCTCGTCGTCATCGTCGTCGTCGTCCTCCTCCTCCTCCTCCTCCTTCTCCTCCTCCTCGTCCTCCTCCTTCTCCTCCTGCTCCTCGTCATGCTGCCGCCGTGCCACTCCATTGCTTGTCCAGCGTTCCTTGTAGCAGCACGGCGACTGTATCATTCTTCCCTTCCCAGGGCAAAGTACGACTTCGTCTACCTGCCGGTGGACTTTAACACCCGGCGGGCCCGCGGGTGCTCCCTGAAAGAGGGTTCCGTCGTCGGCGTCGTCGTTTCGAGCGTCTCTGGACGTTTCTGGAGGTTCCGGTCGCCACGGCGGGACTCAGTTCTAAAAGATGGCGAGGATCCGAAGAGGAAGCGATACCAACACCGCTACCCTTCCCTCGCTGCCACGGTTGGATTCGCTTCGAAAGTCTGGTCAGAAGGCAAGCCTGGAGAGGTCCGGGGAGAAGCGGTATTGATAGTTGCTTGCCCCCCCCTTTCCAGAGGATGGGCCCAGGGGGGCTGATGCTTCAAGGTCGGTGTCTTCGGATTTTTGGGTGTTACACCGCCACTTCAATAAGTAGGAGGGGTAGGTGATCCTCCTCCTCCTCCTCCTCCTCCTCCTCTTTTTCATCCTCCACCTCCTCCCCCCCTCCGATTTACGGTGGTGGTGGTGGAAGACAGGCCCATCACCTCTGGCCTCGTGGAGCCCTCCCCGGGCCCCCAGCCGTCAACAGAACGGCACACAAGGTGCAGCGTTGGCTTCTGGTGGGGGGAGGCCCGGGGTCCGGGCGCCGTTCCCCTCGGGACCCTGTCTTTCGCATGCCACAAAGGAGGAGGGAAGTCGGGAGGGAGCGAGGGAGGGCGGCAGAGGCCCCACGGAGGATCAGGAGCACGAGTATGACCGTGCGACAGAGTCGATGCACGCCAGCCGACGTGAGACAACACATCGAGACATGAAATTCTTGACGCTTCGCGTGCCCCCACCAGCTGCCCGGCCGCTGAGGTGCCGCGTGAGGCTCCGGCTCACCGCTTTAGGTTAATTCGTCTTTGCGCGCCCCGCTCTGACTGGACTCGCCGCTGGCGCGCTCGCCTGCGGCCGCTGACTAAAAAGTACACCCACCAGCCGCCTCAGGGGTGGTTGCATGTCAGCCGCCTAGCACACCTGGCACCTCTTGCAGCTCTGCCTTCAGTCCCCGGCGTCGCTCGGCGTCCTTCGGCGGCAGCTCTGGCGGCCGTTATTTCGAGCGCTTTGGTAATCAGGTTTGGCTCGCAGCCCCGGCTGACTTCGGACGCCGCCTGCGCTTTCGCTTGCGGCCGCGACGGAAATAAAAAGCCCACCAGCATTGAATTACCACCTGGTGATGCACGCCGCCCGGATGTACCTCTGGGCGCTCGCGCTCCCCTGAGCGGCAGTGAGGCTTGCCTCCTGTTAGTCTCTTCCCCTGCTTGTTCTTGTCCTCTTTTCGCCCTCCTCTTCCTTGCGCGCTAATTTAGGCCGTTGCTTGTTTGCAGTGCCCTGAACGCCGCCCGACATGTTCCTCGCCGCGGTCGCGATCCAAAAAACCCACCAGCTCATCCAGAAACGATGCCATCTTGGACGCTCCAACGCCTCGCGAGCCCCCCCCCCTCCAGGTCCAGGGGAGGGGGTAGGGGGAGGGGTCAAGCTATCGATCCGCCCGCAAGCCGTCTAGCTCACTCCCACCCGCCCTCCCAACACAAAAGTAACACCCGAACCTGAACATGTGCAGCGGCCGTCTTTGGATGGACACCTTTTGGGAACCAAAGCCGACCCCAGGTGCGCGACGCTTGGGCGAGGTGCGCAACGCGTGCCAGTTTTGCCACGCGCGCCAGGCACCCCTGGAACCCGAGTTTTCCAGGCACGCCTGGTGCGCCAGATGCGCCACGTGCTCCTAGTGCGCCAGGTGTGCCGCACACTCCAGCCGCGCCAGGTGCGCCACGTTCGGGGCACGTGCAGAGTGTGTCAGGTGCGCCTGTGCACGTGAAAGCACACATCGGGAAACATGTCGGCCCCCGTCGTCTTTGTCGAAAGCCAATGTCCATCATTGTGTTTGGTGGGCCTGCGCACAGCAGGCCACGCGCCATCACCCCCGGCCGTCCCTGTCAACAGTTACGTGGCAGTGATCGCAGGGCGGCCGCGCACGATCCAGATTTAGCCGCGAGGTGCATGTTTTTTTGGGGGGGGGTCAGGGGTGGTAGCCATGCGCGCAGCAGGGAATATGCTGACACCCCCGCCGTCCCGGTCAAAAGCCATACAGAGTTCTCGCGGGCCTTACGAACATGATTCCCGACTTGGCCCTAAGTGTGCTTTGCATTGTTTTTGAAAGGGATGGTGGGTAGGGGCCGCATCGGGTTGGCCGCGCATCCTCCAAATGTGGAGGCACTGCGCGGTTTGCATGTTTTTTTGACGGATGGCGGGGGGGCGGGCCCGCAAGGGGTCGGCATGGTTCCGGGTTGGCCGCCGGCCGGGTGGGTGAGGGGGTGTATACTAATATGGAACAGTGATAAACCCCTCCCCGAAAGTGAAGAGGGATTGGAAGAGAAACCGCTCTAGACCACATACGCCCAGAGGGCCGGTGGGATTACACTCTACCGCGCTCACGCTTCCCAGCTGCACTTGGAAAACCTTAGGGCTCGAGGCCTTGCGAGATCCTGCTGGGTATTCTGCATGGGTTGGAGTAGTGCGATGAGTACACTCCTTGCCCAGTTCACGCAACACGGCAGACGCATAACACCCACACAATTTGCGGTACCAGATCAGAGTTTGACTTGAGTAGAACATTTCACATCAAAGGATGGATCCATCCTTCCGATGTGCAGCTTAGCGTGGCGGGGCATAAACGATATATTCGCCATAGTTTTGGGAGTAACATCATGGGCTATTAAGCCGGGCGGTGGTCGTGGCTTGGACGCCGAACCCCCGCACCGTTGACAAGAGTTTATCGGGTCGTCCAGACTATTGGAGGAGGAGAAGAGGGAGAGAAAAGGAACAACAGGAGGGCAGTTCAGTTTCACAGGCTTTTTTTTCCTCACATGTTTCGTGGGGTTCTGGTTTTCATCCCTGTCGCGTCGCACCCGCGACCCTCATCTCACCTCCTCCTCCTCCTCCTCCTCCTCTTCCTCCTCCTCCTCCTCCTCCTCCTCCTCCTCCTCCTCCTCCTCCTCCTCCTCCTTCTCCTTCTCACACAGCGCAGCACAGCTCAGCACAACACAGCTAGCTCAGCACAGCACAGCTCAACACAGCACGGCACAGCACAGCATAGCACCTCAGCACAGCACAGCTCAGCTGAGCACAGCAGAGCACAGCACAGCACAGCACAACACAGCACAGCACAGCACGATGGTCGTCCAGGGCACGGCAGGCGTGGGGTTTTGTCGCCACCAGAGGGGGTGCGCGGGGGGTGGTCCCTCAACGCGGCCTTTATGCGTGCCAGGGTCGGGAAGCGTGGCGGGCGTTGCATTTTTTCTGCGCCAGAGGGGGTGCGCAAAGAGTGGTCCTTTCAGCGCGGTCTCTATGCGTGCCAGGGTCGGAAAGTGTGGCACGTGTGACACCTTCTCGACGCCAGAGGGGGTGCGCAGGGTGTGGTCCCTCAGAGCGTCACCTATGCGTGCCAGGGTCGGGAAGCGTGGCAGGCGTGGAGGAGTAGGAGGGGCCGAGACGAGGAATGGGGAAGGCTGGTGAAGGGGTTGAAGAGGGAAAGGTGGGGCATTGGGGTGTGTCGCGTGCAATACCGCGCCGCGACCATCGCGGTGGCGTCGCGTGCAGAGCCCGCGCGGCATTCCTTGTTGATTTACTGGCGCGTGGGGCCGTGGTTTGATTCGGCGCGACGCCGCCGCGGGTTCGACGTTGCCCACCCCGCGCGCGCGCGTTCCCGTCGCTTCGGGAGCTAAGCAGAAGCTGCGTTTAGCCATCTCGGAAAACTACTTTTTCTTCTTTGTCCTATTTCATATTGCTGTCTTGATTCCCAGCTGTCTAAGGCCATCCGGTGTCATAACCCTTGATTCCCTGTGCGGCGACCCTCCCTTCCCACTCCCTCCTCGAGCTTCTGGACCTTCGCCAGCAACCGGGTCTTGAGCTCTCCTCGTAATCGCCCGCCTCCGCTGCGCGCTGGAGGAGGGAAGCGCCCGGCTCCTTTGTGCCCCTGCGCGGCGATCCCCCCATCCCCGCTCCTTTGTCGAGCTTCTTGACCTTCGCCAGCAACCGGGTCTTGAGCTCTCGTCGTTGTCGCCCGCCTCCACTGCACGGTGGAGGAGGGAAGCACTCGACCCCTTGATATCCTTGCGCGGCAATGCTCCCTTCCCGCCCCCTTTTCGAGCTTCTTGACCGACCGGATCGCGAGCTTTCCTCGTGGTCGCCTGCCTCCGCTGCACGTTGGAGGAGGGAAGCGCTCGGCTCCTTTGTATCCCTGTGCGGCGGTCCCCCGTTCCCGCCCTCTCCTCGGGCTTCTTGACCTTCGCCAGCAACCGGGTCTTGAGCTCTCCTCGTGATCGCCCGCCTCCGCTGCACGCTGGAGGAGGGAAGCACTCGGCCCCTTGATATCCCTGTGCGGTGATCCTCCTTCCCCACTCCCTCCTCGAGCTTCGTGACCTGCGCAAGCAGCCGGGTCTTGAGCTCTCCTCGTGGTCGCATGCCTCCGCTGCGCGCTGGAATTTGACGCGCTCGGCTCCTTTGTATCCATGTGCGGCGAGCTTCCCTTCCCGCTCCCTTGTCGAGCTTCTTGACCTTCGCCAGCAACCGGTTCTTGAGCTCTCCTCGTGGTCGCCTGCCTCCACTGGACGCTGGGGGAGGGAAGCGCCCGGCTCCATGATATCCCTGTGCGGTGATCTCCATCCTCGAGCTTCTTGACCTGCGCCAGCAGCCAGGTTTTGAACTCTCCTTGTAATCGCCCGCCTCCGCTGCACGCTGGAGAAGGGAAGCACTCGGCTCCTTTGTCTCCCTGTGCGGCGATCCTCCTTTCCCGCTCCCCCCTCGAACTTTTTGACCTGCGCCAGCAACCGGGTCTTGAGCTGTCCTCGTGGTCGCCAGCCTGCGCTGCACGCTGGAGGAGGGAAGCTTTTGGCTCCTTTGTATCCTTGCGCGGCGATCCTCCCTTCCCGCCCCCTCTTCGAGCTTCTTGACCTGCGCCAGCGACCGGATCGTGAGCTTTCCTCGTGGTCGCCTGCCTCCGCTGCACGCTGGAGGAGGGAAGCGCTCGGCCCCTTGATGTCCTCTTGTGCAGCGACCTTCCTTTCCCGCTACCTCCCCGAGGTCTTTGACCTTCGCCAGCAACCGGGTGTTGAGCTGTCCCCGTGGTCGCCTGCCTCCGCTGCGCGCTGGAAGAGGGAAGCACTCGGCCCTTTTGCATTCGACTAGACGTAGGAGTGACCTTTCGCCGGAGTGACCTTTGGTGCGGGCCCAGTGGGACCCCCCGATCGCCGAACGCGATGCGATAGTAACGCCTTGCGCGCCTGTGTTTGGTCCCCCCGCGGCCCCCGAAAAGCCGCGCACCAAAGATCACTTTTTACCCAGGGTCACTCTTGCGTGTGGCCGATAGATCCCTGAACGACGATCTCCCTGCCCGCTCCCGCGCCTGCCGCGTCCCGCTCCGCCACGCGGCGTCGGACCCGGTTGCAAAAGTGGAGGGGATGCCGCTCGGTGCGCGGGTTGGGCGCGCTTCTCTGATCATTGCCTCGTCAAAGTGGGCTGCACGACTGCAAGGTTTGAGTACACATTGCTCCTTTCTAATTCTTCGGAAGTTCCTTGATTTTTTGGGGGCCAGGATCCTTTCATTTCTAATTATTCTATCCTGGGCCTCTTCCTGGCCACTAGGGGGTCAGGAACAGTTAGAAACGAACATAATTAGAAATGAGCACGGTTAGAAATGAACGACGTGTATCTTGGCCGTGAACTCGAAGCCCTTGCAGATGTTCTTTTGCTCTTGGAAGGCTCATCGTTGCACGCGCACTTCCCGCGCGCCCTGCAGCGCGTCCGACATCGAGCGCCCGACATTACTAGAAGTTGTCAGGGTCTCTCCTGCACCGGTCGGTGCCGCACTGTTCCTCGACGGGAAGTGTGGTCAAAATCCCGCAAGCGCTTCGAGAATGCTCGGAAGAATGAGTCCCGCCAACATGGTTCCGGCCCAAGTGGCTTTAAGGGCCAAAAGACGTAGGGAGGAATATGACGAGTTGGTTTTCTGGTGTATTGGATGACTGGTGCATGATGGTGGAGGTACGTTTGGACCCCTCCCTGCAGCCGTCTTCGTTGGCCGAGGGGCTGCAGGGAGGTCCTCGGCCCCCTCCATTGGCTTTTGACGCCGTAAATGGTTGGTGTATTGGTGTATTGGTGGGAGAGGGCGACCCCAACGGCTCCTATGATGGCAGCCGCAGGGGGGGTGAGGCCTATGATGGTCCTCACTGGTGAGGCCTATGATGGTCCTCACCAGGCTGGGGTGGGGGAAGAGGGCAGGAAGTCGAAGCGGATGTCCGGCAGCAACGTCCTGGGGGGATACCTGAAAAGGGGACTTAAAAACAACGTCTGTCTTCCGCCTATGTTCCAGAGGAGCCCCGTACAAAAAGCAAAGGCAAATAGAGAGAGAGGGAGAGAAGAGAGAGAGGGAGAGAGGGAAAGAGGGAGAGAAGGAGGAGGAGGAGGAGGAGGAGGAGGAGGAGGAGGAGGAGGAGGAGGAAGAGGAAGAGGAGGACACTCTGCTGGTTGTCGTCGTCCTCGCAGGCGGCCCGCCCGCGACCCAGCGACGAGGCACCTGCGACCCACTCGCGACCCGCCTGGACGCTGCATTGACGACTGGAAGAAACCGGCGCCCGCCCCAGACATGATCGCGTCGTGAAAGGAATCAGGAGGGAGGGAGGGGGGAGGGAGAGAGCGGAAGGGAAGAAAAGGGGGGTGGACTGGACCTCGGCGGAGGAGGGTGGGGGAATGGGTAGGAGGTGGCAGGAGGATTCTACACGATTGTACATGCCAGAAATCAAGAACTTTGAAGCTCGAGTAACTGCGGCGATGAAAGGCTGCACCTCCCCGACGCCTATCCAGGACGACTAGGTTTGGCCTCGGCGAGAATTCTGAATGAGGTGGGCGCCTGCCTGAGCCCGTCTCGCATGATAGCTGACGGCGTCGGGCCCGTGTGACCCTCTTGCCCGCTCCTGCAAGCCTTCGCACGCTCGGCCATTTCGCGCACGAGCGAATCCCATCATTGTAGCTGATGGTGCTTCGCCCCTGCTTCCACTGCGCAGTCTCCTGCGAGGGCCAATGCGGGCATTGTAGCTAAAGGCCCTCGCCTGCGTCCGCCGTCTCGCACGAGCTGATCGCCGCACTGCGGCCGGTGCGCTGCTCCCGCGGTCGTCGTCTCATGGTGCCAGATGCACCCGCCGCGCTCCTCCTCACAAGAACCCGTGCCCAACGCTGTAGCCGATGCCTCTGCTGCATCCTTCTCACAGCGCCAGCTTCTGCCACTGAGCGACATCTCACAGAAGCTGGCCCCTCCTGCATTTGAGCTGATGGCCCTCCCGGGCCTCCGCCTCCGCGATGCTTGCACGAGCCGGTCCCTGCGATTCAGCTGCTGAGCCCTCCCCGCGCCCGCTCTCTCTAGCAAGCTGGTCCTCGCACTTTTGTTGGGCGTCCGCGCCCACAGTGTCTTCGCAGTGCCAAGTGTTGCCACGGCACGCTTCCTCGCAAGAGCTGAGATCCACATAGTAGATCAGGAACCTCACCCGCGTCCCCCTTCTCCCACGAATTGTTGGCTGCGCTGCAGCTGGATGGCCGCTCCCACATTCGTCTTTCTGACAGTGCCAGGTCATGCCACGACCCGCCCTTCTCGACGGCGCCCACACCAGCACTGTAGCCGAGGACGGCTGATTGGGGTGTCCGCATTTGGCAGGGCCAATGCCTGTTCTCATGCATGAGCTAATCCCAGCGTTGTAGTTGATGGGCAGCTTTCGTGTTGAGCTGGTCCCAGTGTTGTACTGTAGCTGGGTGTCCGCGCCCACGGTTTTCTCACAGTGCCCAGCTGCCACTGCAAGCCCTTTCGCAGGAGCTGGTTCCCGCATTGTAACTGAGGACCCTCTGCCGCGTCCACTTTCTCGTGCGAATTGCTCCCCGCGCTGTAGGTGGGCGTCCGCTACCGCGTTCATCTTTTCTACTGTCCCACGAGCATGCATCTTCTGGAACGAGCGAGACCGCCCCAACGTAGCCGAAAGGTGTCTCGCACGACCCCCGTTCGAAGCAGCAGAGTCCGCAGGCAATGCCTGTCCTCCTCGCACGACTTAATCCTTGCACTGCAGCTGAGACGTGTCTCGCACGACCCCCTGCAGCTACAGGGCCTGCTGCCACTGCCTGCCCTTGTCGCACGGCTCGATCCCCGCACTGCGGCTGCGAACCCGGGCTCCTTCCCGCACGCGCTGGCCCCGCACTCCCAGGTGAGCTGTGCCTCGCACGACCCCCCGCTGGCAGCGGCAGGCCCCGCTGCCGTTGCCCGCCTTCTCGCACGCTCGCCCGAGCCCACCTCCGCTCGGTAGCTGACGGCGCGTGGCTCGTGCTGCGCCGCTGGCGGTGCTTGGCCGCTATTGTGGCAGCTGCTGGCGCTGGGCTTCGCCTCGGCCTTCACTTCGGCTGGGCCGCCCACGACGCAGGCGCATGCGAGCGGGAGGCGGTCCCCGGTGGCCGTCCTGGCTTCGATGTGGAGGGGGAACGGTACCGAGCTCTCCTGATGCCGGGGCGGAGGAGAGGAAGCGGGTCGGCGACGACAACCCTGGCGAGGGGTGGGGGGGGAGTTTTTCGGGGTTCGAGGCCCGAGGCTTTCGGAGACTTTGGTCGGTCCTCGGCGGTTTTCCAGCCTCGGCATGCTTGGCAGCAGCTGCGCCTCGCCGAGGGCGTTCTGGGCTTGCCCGGATCGTCCCGAACGGCCGTCGGAGACCCGAGATTTTTTGACCCCAAAAATTACCTTCGGCGGGTGCCATCAGACGGCTGTGTGAACGGTCGGGTCCGGTCCCAACGCTCTAGCTGCTGACCTGGGGCCCCACCTTTCTTCACGGCTCCTTGGCGGCAGCGCCGCCTCTCAGTTGATTGCCTATAAACTCGGACCCCCCTGCCCGAGAGAACTGGCTGAAGAGGATGAGGGAGGGTGAGGAGGAGAAGGGGCGACCAGAGTAAAGCCAGGATGCGTGTGGCCCCGAGGCAAGAGCCATATGTTGAAAACGGCTGGTTATCCATCCGTGTACCTACTGGAAGTGTTAGGCCGAGTGTGGGCGGCGCTAGGGCGAGATCTACATTTTGAAAACGGCCGGCCCTCCATTACTGTGGCTTTCGGTCCAACCAGCAGGGATATGCACTTTGATGAAGTTCTATACGACGCGGCAGAACCGGCCTACCAGCACGTGTGGCGAATAGACGGGGAGATATTCGATTCTATTCAGACGGTTGGACGAGGAAGAGGCTGAGAAGGATGGTGAGCAGTAAGATGAGGAGGAGGATCAGGAGGAGAAGGCGGATTCCTTATCACTTTTCCTTCATGCCAAGGTACGCGTTCGTGAACTTTCCGCAGGCGGGAGATGCCAAGGAGTGCGTAGGATATGTCAACAGCTCCCCGCTCGAGTTTCTCGCAGGCTCAGAGACTCCTAAGAAGTGCTCTGCTGGTCTGGCCATCGTGCAGGGCAAGGTCGCAAACATCAAGAAACATTCGCGCTCCTCGATTGCAGGGTCGGACATCCCCGACGGCTTCAAGCCCATGATTTTCAACGAGGATGGCGAGGTCGTCCCAACGGACGAGGTGATCGGCTCTGCAACCACCGGCAGAGATTGGGATGACAACGAGGAAGAATGGTGGGAAGAGGAGGAGGAGGAGGAAGAAGAAGAACAAGAAGAAGAATGGACGGCGGTGGACGAGGACGAGTGGTGGAAGGAAAACGGCTGGGACCAAGAAGATTGGACCAAGGAGAGCACTTGGGATAAGAACGATTGGAAGGACGACAGCGAATGGACCGATTGGAAGGGCTGGAGCGGCAAAGATTGGACGTCAGGCGCCAAGGCGGAGAAGGATTGGTCTTCGGCTGTGAGCTCCAGCTCTTGGTCGACTTGGAAAAAGACCACCGAGACGAATTGGAAGGACGACACTGACTGGAGGCCTCATGATCAGGACACGGAGGGGGGAGGAGGGAGGAGAAGCAGGAACCGCCCCTCCGCTCCCTCACCATTCCCGCCTCCTCCTCTTGCCTCCTCCTCCTCCTATCTCCTTCTGCTCCTCCTCCTCCTCCTCCTCCTCCTCCTCCTCCTCGTCCGTTTTACGGTCGTCTCCTCCTCCTCCTCCTCCTCCTGCTCCTCCTTCTCCTCTTCCTCCGTCTCCTCCTCCTCCTCCTCCTCCTCCTCCTCCTCGTCCCCCTCCTCCCTTTCCTCCCTTTCATTCCTTTCCTCCCCCTCCTCCTCCTCCTCCTCCTCCTCATCATCATCATCATCCTTTTCCCCGGTCTTCTCCACCTGCTCATCCTCCTCCTCCTCGTCCTCTTCTGTCTCCTCCTCCTCCTCGTCATCCTCCTACTCGAGCGGTCGTTCCTTGTCCAGAGCCCTGTTGCCCTGCCTTTGCCCAGTCGTCTCCCCTTGCCAGTTGGACGAGTGTGGGTCGGGTCATCCATTGTGGCTGTTTGTCTTCAGGCATTCTGACCGCGCCCGGTGTACATATGCTATACATCGCTCTACAGCCTTCCTTCTTCCTTCATTTTCCTACATCCTCATATCTAGTTCGTAGCGGAGCAGGTTCGCCCGTGCTCCAGTACCACGGCTGCCATGTCCCGCCTCGCCTCGATGGCCATGGCTCCTACGTTCCGTCGCTATCGTGGCGCCTGCAGGAGACGCCACTCGTCGGTACGTCAGGGCTGAACCAACCCATTCGCCGGCACACCACGTCGTGCCGCTGTACATCCCGCTCTATATCCGCCTTTTACATCATCGTTTTCGTGCACCTCTTCCCGCTCACTGTGGCAGAAAACGTTGCTCTAGGGCCCGTCGGGGCGTCCGCCCATCCGCAAAGACCAGTGGCAGAGAACTTGCACAAACAATCCTTCAACACGGACAACACCACCGACATCTACAAAGACCTCTCTGCGACCCCTTTCCAGTAATGTTCGGACTGTGTCCAGGCAGCTTGTGGGCCCCAAATTGTCAGTGCCCCCGCCTGCGGGGGTAGCTTCAAGCGTTAGAGAGTTGCTCGGGACAAAGTTCACATTCGCGGTGCCACAACAAGGTTCCGACCTTTTTGGGACTGTGATTCGAGAGCCCTGGGGGAAGCAAACAGAGGCATCCGGCGACTGCGTCGCTGGTGCCGAGCGGGGATGCAGTGGGGGGTATGACGACTGGCACGCCACCTCTCCGAGGCACCACACCTCGGGACCCGGCCCTTCGCCTTACCTGCTCAGACCCGCCAGCCGGACTGGACGGGATCCCGTTCCGCGGTCCACTAGACGATCGTCCATTTGGCGGTGTTCAGTGCAGTGACCACACGTCGCTACGACGAGCATTCCCGTGATTGCGTCGCGGGATGTTCTGAGTACTGTGAGCACTGCAGTGGCACGGAAAAGGATGAGCACTGCAGTGGCACGACAAAAGCAGACACCCGATACGCTGACGAGGAGGAGCACATCCGGGGCAACCATCTTCGGCGACTCATGCAACGCCGCTTGAGGACCCCGGGCCTCCAGCACCTCTACGACACGCGGAGGGAGCTACACTCCGGATGCAATGCCATCGGGGTCGGCACGTGCGCCATCGCAACCTGCATCGCCTGCATGGACGCAGGTGTTGGCAGCGGCAACTTGCTCCACGTCCGCGCTTGGGGGCCCGAGTACCCAGCTCGTGTGCCTTTTCCAGAAGTGGGCGCTTGAGGAGATGATCTGGTCAGCGGCGAACTCAGATCTCATCGAGTTCCGCCTGGTGGCCTACGTCTTGTCGCGCCTTACCGGCATGGCGCGCGAGTGCGTGGACGAATGGCCGCCAGCTGTCCTGATCCAGTGAGGTCTCATCAACGGCAACCCAGTGCCACCGATGACCTTCCTTATGCACAGCTTGGCCGAGCGAGTGGGCCAGCTGGGCGACGAGGAGTGCACCTCGGCAGTATCAGCTCTGATGAACTTCAACCGGCAGCCGCCGGGGCGCGCTTTCCTAGCCACCCTGTCCGACATCGACTCTGGGAGACCTTCGCGGGTCCGGGAAGGGCAAAGGTAAGGGGAAAGGGAAGTTCAGAACCGCGGGCATGGGTTCGGGCCGCCAAGGCAAACCTATGGGTCCTGACGGGGTGCGTCTCAAATTCCACGAGTGCGACTCCGAGGAGCACCTCGTGCGCGACTGCCCCCCACGCCGCCACAATGGCGCGCTCTCTTCCTCAACGCCTGCGCCCCAGCACCACCATCAGCACCATCATCCTCGCCACTTGCTGTTCTGGGACAGCATGGGCCGCCGGGACCGACCGAGCAGCAGCCCGTGCCAGGAGTTGTTGAACCCGATGGCAGCCAAGGCTCCAGCTGCCCTGGGCCGCGCCCGACAAGAGGCGGCCGCCGTAGTGATTGAGGGAAAGCTGCCGCTCGCTTCCTTACTCAGCATCCTGTCCCGCTCCATTCGCCCCCTGCTCTTCCCTGATTCGCTCGCACCGGCCCTGACCTTCTCGAAGTGGGCCACCCCCGCTGAACATCGTTCCGTGCAGGAGCCCTCCGCCAAGTGCCTGCGCCGAACTTGCCCTCGCAACGCCCAGGCTCAGGTTCATTCAATTCGACCGCCGTGCCCCCGCGTAATTCATTTTCCGCCCATGGACGGGCTCTCTCGGCCCCACGCGGCCTTCTCCTCCTCCTTCCCCTTCTCCTTCTCCTTCTCCTTCTCCTTCTCCTTCTCCTTCTCCTTCTCCTTCTCCTTCTCCTTCTCCTTCCCCTCCTCCTCCTCCTCCTCCTCCTCCTTCTCCTCCTCCTCCTCCTCCTCCTCCTCCTCCTCTCAGAAGAGGGGCGGGGCGGGGCGGGGGCCGCCGTGGCCATCTGTCTCTCTCTCTCTCTCTTTCTCTCGCTCCGTGTCGCAGAGCGTGAGATTCGGCAGTGGTGCTCCAGTGCCAGTGCCCAGTGTGCACGGGGGCGCAGTCGGGGCCCCCATGCGGCGGAGCTGTTTGGGGCCAGGTGCGGTCGGGAAATTTTGCCCAGAGCGCATTGCTTATCCCTTGCCGATCGCGGACGTGACCAGGATGGGGGGGGGCGGAGGGCGCTGGTAAGTTGACGATGCGCGCCGGCGCCGTCTTGGGATGCCAAAGAACGGTGTACAAGTCCCAGACGGCGCGCTGGCGCGAATCCTGACGTGACCGCGGGGGGGGGGGGCGGCGTGCGGGCCCGGTAGCGGGCGTCATCGCGAAACATAGGAAATATAAAGGATGGGCGCCATGTGCGCTTGGAGTGTCGCCCTGCCCGCCACTCCGGGGCAGCGTGGGGGGCGCCTGGCGGGGGGCAGGGTCAGGGGGGGGAGCGCGCGCCGACCCCGGTCGCCCACCAGTCGCCGCTAGGGGCCCGGGAGCTCGCCCCGCCCATGACCGTGCGCTTTTGTCTTCGGGGGCTATTGTTCAGTCGGGCGCGGCCCTCTACAGGAGGACTGCTCAAAGGTACCCCCAAAAAAGTCACGGGAGGTTTTCTCTTCTATGATTTCATGTCATTGCACGTCCAAGTCCGCCTGTAAGAGGACATGCCAGAACAAAAGGCTATTGCCGGTATCGGCGATGTATCACCGATTCCAGGTCGACGTTCCCTTCCTTAGCTGGTCACCCCCGAACGTTCTTTTTCATCAGCACGTCGCCCCGCCGGTTCTGGCCACAAAGTTCGGTCGCGACACGCCAGCCGCGTGTCAGCCCCCGAGCGTCAACGTCGCGAGTTTTTGTTCAGCCTTCCGCCCCGCGGAGCGGGGCGGCACGTCATCCGCTTGATCGGCATGGCGTGTCGCTGGGGCCGCCGCCGCAACACGCCAGGCAAGCGTTGCTGACCGTATCAAACTGTTCGCTGCTGCGGAGGATTGCTGAACTTCTCAGGACTGGATCAGGATGGCCCTGTTCTGAGGAGGAGCAGGATGGTAAGCTGTTGGAGGATCGGAAGAGGTGGGTCGACGCGGTCGAGTATGTGGTTTTCAAGACGTTTTTCTGAAGCAAGGGCTCCGTCCCAATTGGTAATTGTGCCGTAAGGCCTCTGGCCCTAGACTGTACGGGTGTGAGGCAGCAACCGTCGGACTTTTTACATGTGAAATCGTGTGCGCAGGAGGGTATCGAACACGGGTCTGGCGCGTGCGAATTCGACAAGTGTTTCAACGTGTGTAGGCGCCAAAGGGGGGTCCTGACATGGGGGTGCCAGATTCTTCGCACGTAGAAAGGCGTTCGCGGAACAGGGGAACGAACGTGCGTCTGGCACTTGCGCATTCTGCGTTAGTGCCACGCGCGTCTACGCCCAAGGCGTTCTCGAACATCGGGGCGCCGGTCTCTGCAGATTTGCAATGATGTGCGAGGGGTGGTGTGTCGAGCTCGCGTCTGGCGCGCTCACTTTAGGCAGGCGATCTCAATGGTGCAGACGCGGAGGGGTGGGGTGCATCGAACATGGGAGCGTCGGATCCTTCACATGTGCAAGTACGTGTGCGGACGGAGAGTATCGAGAATGCGCCTGGCGCGTGCGTATTTAGCACGTGGCTTCACGTGTGTAGGCGCCAACTTTGGCATTGAACATGGGGGTGCGGGATCCCCCACATGTGCAAATACGTTGCCAGAAAGGGGGTAGCGAACATGCGTCTGGCACATACGCATTTGGCAAGTGTTTTACCAGTGTAGGAGCCAAGTGGGGTAACGAACATGGGGACGCCAGATCCGTGACAGGTGAGGGTGCGTGCGCGGAGGGGGTATCGAACAGGGGAACGCCAGATTTTTCTGACGAGGAGATATGCGTGTTCCCTCCTCCTGCTCTTGCTCCCTCCACCTCCCTTCACCTCCTCCCTTCTCGCTCCCCCTCCTGCACCTCGCCTGTCAGGGCTGGACCTAAAGTGTTATGGCGATTTCGTGGGCCGTTTTCGTTCCGACTTCGTGTTGCGGTAAAGGCGGATTGACGACAAAGCGAGGGACAACGACAACAAAACGAGAACGAAAAACACCGTTTAGGTTCAGCCCTGTCGTCTGTCCTTCTCGTCCGCGCTCTGCCTCCTCCGCTGCCCCCCTCCTCCCCGAGGGTCCTCCTCGTCCGCCCCTCCCCGAGGACGACTCGAGGGCCCTCCTCCGCTGCCCTCCTCCCCGGGGACGACCCGAAGGCCCTCCCCTCGCTCTGCCTCCTCCGCCGCCCTCCTCCCCCCTCCTCCTCCTCCTCCTCCTCCTCCTCCTCCTCCTCCTCCTCCTCCTCCTCCTCCTCCTCCTGCTCCTCCTGCTCCTCCTGCTCCCCCTCCCCCGAGGACGACTCGCGGGAGCAGGGTGACACCTGGGCGGCGCGGGGCGCCGAGCCCGGGCCCGCGCAGGCGGAGGGAGGCGGGGCGAAGGGCCGCGACAAGTGGCAGCCTCGCCGGCCGCCCGCCACCGGCACGAAGGCCCCAGCCCTCAATCGGGGGCCTTGAGACGGGGGTCAGTGCAAACGGGGGTCAGCCACGGCACCGGATCCTGCAGGATCCTGCGAAGACCCCCTCTGGCTGACCCGGGTTAGCGAGCCCCTCGTGGCCGCGAGGCGGCCGCACATTTTGGCTGACCCGGGTTTGCGAAGACCTGCGTTGCAGTATTTTTTTCCTGCATTGCAGTTTTTGGCTTCCTGCTGACCCGGGTCTGGATTGACCCGGGTCAGAAGATCCCCGACTCAAGCAGTGGCGAAGCGTCCCGGCGTGCCTTTCGAGTTTTTTTTTTTTGGGGGGGGGCCAAGCTCCTTTTCATTTCTGCTTACTCTATCCTGGGCCTCTTCCTGGCCGCTGGGGGGCCAGGAACAACTAGGAACGAGCACAATTAGAACTGAGCGCGATTCGAACTGAAGGACGCGTAGGCCTACCAAAAACAATGTGCTAAGAACCTTTTGTGGTCTCCACGGGAGGTTCTCAGAACCTTTTTCTGGCTGGCACCGTCTTGTTTCAGCACATCGGGTTCATGTTCTAAGGGCATCGTTTTTGTTTCGGGGGAGCGTAAGACCCGGGTTTGCCAGGACTCGGGTTCGCCATCGTTTTTTGACGACCGCGACTCGAATTTTGACGAGTAGGAGTTTCGTGGGATGTCTGCCGCGGGAGGCCTCGTCAAAATGCAGGCTCGGCCTCGTCATTTTTTTGACGACCTCGTCGGGGATTTCCGAATCCCCTGTACCCAGGTCTTACGTCCCCCTGATCTAAGAGCATCGTTTTTGTTTTTGGAACATTTTTGGGGTCTAAGAACATGTCGTGGCATTCCTATAGGAATGCCGGGACGGTCGGTGCCTGCTCAAGGCCTTGGCCGGGGCGACTCGCCGAGCCTCGCCGTCGTCGCCCCCGTCGCCGTCGCCCTCTGCCATCGTCGCCGTCAGCAGCATCAGCAGCAGCAGCATCAGCAGCACAGTCATCCCCTTCTCCTCCTCCTCCTCCTCTTTCTCCTCCTCCTCCTCCTCCGCCTCGTCGTCGTCGTTGTCTTCGTCGTCGTCGTCGTCATGTTCGGTTTCCAGCATCGTGGCCATCATCACCGCCACCATCGTCGTCAGGTTCCCCCGCTTCATCATCCTGGTATTTGTTGTCGTCGTCTTCCTCTTTTGGATCTTCCACGTTATCGTACTGTCTCTTCCTCTTTCTCCTCCGATCATCGTGCTCATACTTCTCCCTTCTCCTCCTCCTCCTTTTCCTGCTTATCGTCGTCATCCTCCTGCACTGGTCCTCGTCTACAGCCTTTTTCTTTCTCGTCGTTCGTATCCACCTCGTCGTCGTTCTTCCCACCCCCCCCTCTAATCCTCATCCGCTTCCCTGCCTCTCGCCTCCCTCATCCGTCCTCTTCTCTGCCCCCCACCCGCCCTGCCCCCCCCTCCTCCCTACCTCGCCTCTCTCCCCTGTCCTCCCTCCTCCCGCCTCCCTGCTCGAGCATCCGACTGTGCGAGTAGAGAGGGGAGCTGCGCCATGGTAAGGGATGGGAGGGAGGGGTAGGAGGTCAGATATGACGCGAGCGCACCTAGCTTGTCCCTGCCCCTCCTCTCTCCCCTGCCCTCCCTCCTCCCGCCCTCCTCACCCCCCTCCCCTCCTTCCCCCCCCGTCCCCCCCCCCACCCCTCCCCACCTCCGCGAAGGAGCCCGCCTGGGAGCCCACCTGGAGCAGCGCGGCAGCCGACAGGCCGTCCGCGCCTGTGGAGGCGAAGCACGACAAGGTCCTCGTCGTCGTGGTCGTCGTCGTCGTCGTCGCCATTGTGGTCGCCG